AGTGCTTTAATAGTCCACAGTCTCTCTACTGTGGCCTTCTATAAAATTGAAAACAAGTCATGCTTGTTATTCCAAAAGGGATGTACCAGGGTATAGGGAAAATTAGATAAAAGCAAAACCAAACCTCAGAAATGTAATTCCAAATTCTGTAGCTCAGTGTCTTGAGCCTCATGATCTGGGTTTCAAAGGTCTTAAGTGGCCCATCTCCCCAGAACTGCCTTCCAAAACACACACGGCTTGTCTTATAGGCTCGCATCTACTACATACTTGCCACTGTCCAGGATGGACATCCCATGGTCCTGACATCTCCAGTGTCCTGGCTTCTCCACTGCAGCAGAGGCCTAATCATTGGCCTCTTCAAAGACACTGACCCTGTCACATAGTGCCAGCCCTCAGCCACTCTCCAGAACACCACACTTACCTCTCGTCTCCAATACCTGTATCAGGTGTATGACTTACACATTACCAACTTGAGATGCAGCTTTGCAACCCTCCCATGACTGCAGCTTCTGTTTCTGACTAAATATTTCCCAGATATTTCACATCAATGATACCGACCTCTCATTAACCATAGCTCATTTTTCAGACCCAGCTGACTAGCATCCTTTATCCTAATAAAGCACAGGCTTCAGTTCAGTTCCTGTTATTAAAGGTTATTTTTCAGCTTCAATTGACCAACAGCCAGATTCTTAAAGTATCTCACAAACAGCCCTGTAAACTCTTAGCTTTCCTCGGAAACATCATAGTCAGGCCTCCATTATCTGCATTTCTCCCAAGGTTATGAACTTCCAAGATCCCACACCACTGCCCTTTAAGCTCTGCACTCAGTGGCTTCTAGTTTTTGAGGTTCAAAACCCTCCCATACCCCTCTATCATAGCAACCACTTCTGGTATCGATTTCTGTATTAGTTACTTTTTCTGTTGCTGTGATAAAACTGTCTGACTAAAGATATCCTAAAGAAGTGTCTTGCCTTGGACTGTCCAGTTTATGGATTGACCTAACTCGGGTGGCATGGGATTGTGTGGGCCATAAACTCTGATGGAGATGTACCAACAGCACTCTGGTAACTCATTATATACAAAGTGTGAGACAGAGGAAGTGTGTGAGTCTCTGTAAACAGGGTTCCTCCAGGCTCCCACAAACAGGACTGGAGATGGCTAAAAGTTTAGATGACCTCTGTGCTATCTGTGTAACTGAGATCACACCAGATCCTCTCCAAGGCCCTTAAGATTACCTATCTTTAAAACCCACCTTCATGGAAGAAATTCGTGTACTTAGAGAAGAGTTTTGATATAATTATGTCTCCTTGTGTACAAGGGATGTATTGTGCTAGAAAACATGACTCAGTAGCTGGTGTTGGTTCAGACTTCTAGATTCTGATACCAGGCAGTTCATTTTATATTTAAGTACAGTACAATTTGTAAAAAACTTTCCTGCAATAACAGTCCTGGCAGTTACCAGTCTGTTCTCATCACCTTGATAGATTTTTAACTTGGTTGAACTTGTCATAAACGTCATTTTAATAGACACAGGGCATGCTCTTTTGTATAGGCTTTGTTCCCCCTGTGTGGATTTGAAATTGATGAATGTGATGGTGAAGATTAACAATTATTTCCTGTTAGTTTTCTCTCATCTTCTTTGGCAGGGCACCTGGACAGGTTTAGGGCTTTTGTGACCATGGCTGCAGTAGGCATTCTTGTAGCCGTGTAATTGTGTACTTGCATTTTTACTTCTCTTGCAGTGGAATTGCTAGATCTGAAGCTAGGGATATCTTTAGTTTGTAAATAGCTGAGATTTCAGATCTTTTCAAAGGGTGTGACTCCTACACACGCACTCTCAGCCTCCAAGTTCACGCTGATGTGTGTCCGTAAGCAGTGGGGTTTGGGTTTCTTTTCTGTTAGTGTAGCTTTTACTAACATGCTGTCACTTGTTTTTGACCTGAGTTTTCATTTTATATTGCGTATTTCTAGTTGACAGACTCTTTATCAAAATATTATTATATTAACTCTAGCAATGGTTTTGCTGACACCTAAACTTGTTCACATTACAAAATGAAGAGTTGGTTTTTCAATTTAAAGAAAAGACATTTTATTTCCCTTGTAATGTTTAATGAGTTTTGACTTTAACTTTGGCCACACGATTTTTTGGCATATCTGTATAAATATTATTTTTAACATATAGGAATAACTAAGTATCTAAATTGCATAATTTCAAACTTAGGGTTTGTGTGTTATTTAACAATCAAATTGAACAACTGAGAACCTGTTTTCTGGATTTTGATGGGATTGTTTTACTCCAATCTCCTGTGTCCCTGAGGTTGCTAACAGAGATGTTCCCCTCTTTGCCTGGCCTGAGTGTGTAACTACTGTTGAAGCACTTACTCTGAAAGGCTTTCTAGTGATGTCTCATAATGTCTCAGAAGTTTCACTTTCTGCCGTCTATATCTGGTCTGAAGGTTATTTGTGTTTTTTTTTTTTCTTAAACTGCTGTTTTCTTATTTTATAAGTATTTATTGAGGTCAGGTGGTGGTGGCACCTGCCTTTAATCCCAGCACTCAGGAGGCAGAGGCAGGCAGATCTCTGTGAGTTCTAGGACAGCCTCCAAAGCCACAGAGAAACCCTGTCTGAAAAAAAACAAAAATTTCTTGTTTGAAATGCAGTTAGGGCTTTTGTATGTAAGAGAAATGGCCAATGTTTTTATAAATACTTTCAAATAAAGGATGCTACTATAAAAATGCCTTTTCATTTCATTTGCATGGGGTTAAACATTAGGTAAACAGTGAAATAAATCATAGATTTTAAATACAGTGGTGTATATATTGATGGAACAAGGGGAAGGCCCAAGTACACTGATTTTAGATCTAGCTGTGTAGTTTAGTTAATTAACTGAGTTTTTTATTCTATTACATTTTCTTGGGGTCCATAAAGATGTCTCCTTTCCATCCTGGCTAAAGGCCAGAGAGTTCAAAACTGTCCTTAGTAAATCATAAGACCTAAAGGTCAAAGGTGTGGCTACAGTACAATGTTTGATCTTGGCCTTGGGTGTCTTATCTAAATAACAGCAGACTTGGTCTGAGTTATGGTTATTCCTGACCCTCAAGGCCAGATAACAAGAAATTAAATATGAGGTGTGATTACTGAATCCTTGGAGAATTGAGGAAGAAAAGTCTGTTTGTTCTGTATACATGATACCATGTTTCCCTTTTTCGTTCAGGTATTTAAGAGTGGTGAAAAATAGCCGGTGTTGGTGGCGCATGCCTTTAATCCCAGCACTTGGGAGGCAGAGGCAGGCGGATCTCTGTGAATTTGAGGCCAGCCCGGACAGGCACCCAAACTACACACAGAAAGACCCTCTCCGAAAACACAAAAAAAAAAAAAAAAAAAAAAAAAAAAAAAAAAAAAGAGTGGTGAAAAATAAACTCACGGCATTCAGTATTGACTGAATTGACCTCATGATTTTATCCTGTGTCTCCATCTTTTCTTTTAATATCTTTAGCTAGCCTTTTCTTTATCCACACTCCCCTTCTCAGGAAGGAACCTTGGGCAAGTTGGCTGGCTTCAACTGCAGCCTCCAAAAGACAGCTTCCCACAACCTTCATTTGTACCTTAGTGTGGTATACCATTCATACTTTAAAGGTTATTTTCAGACATACAAGTTTAGTTTCCATTCTTATACTCCATCTCCACCCTTGAAGCTCACTAGTTTAGAAGATGTAAACCATTTCTGCAAAAGGAGCCAACAATTCCTTGGACTCTACAGGTTTACTGCAGTGATGGCACCATGAGTGTGAGGAAGTACAACTAACTACAGCCTTTAAGGGACATGTCGCTTCCATTGTCACTTTTTTCGAATGAATCCACCTATGCTATTTTCAGACTTGGTATATGTCCTGGTTATTTGAAACAGTAAAACTCTAATCTTTTTAAACTGCTGTATAAAAACTTACAGCAAATACTTGTTTCATAGTAGGGAAAAACACAGTTGACCCAAGCTCCTGGAACCTCACAGACTCTGGACTGACAGCTGCGTGGGACTAAACTAGGCCCACTGAATGTGGGTGATAGGTGTATTACTTGGTCTGTTTGTGGGGCCCCTGGCAGTGGGACCAGGATTTATCCCTGGTGCATAAACTGGCTTTTTGGAGCCCATTCCCTCTGGTGGGATGCCTTGCTCAGCTTTGATGCAGGGGAAAGGTCTTGGTCCTGCCTAAACTTGATATGCCAGGCTTTGTTTACTCCTCATGGGAGTCTTTACCCTATCTGAGAAGTGGATGGGGTGTGGGGAGGAGGGGAAGGGGGGGAATTGTGGTTGGTATGTAAAATGAATAAAAATTTAAAATAAAAAAATACATCACATTTTTTGAGAAATGTTTTCCTTTTCTAAAAGAAAAATATAAACTATATTTTAAAATCAATCATGGCTTATTTAGTGAAATGTAAAGAAATGCAAAGCTTGGTTGGTTAAGTTCAGGGCAGAGCACTTGCCTAGCATGTACTATTTCAGGGGTTTAATCCCCAGCACAAGAAAACACAAGTAAAACAGCAACAACAAAACAGCATTTTCATACTTTTGTACTAATCAGGTCTGTAAAGCTTGGTGAATTGCTAATGTTTAAAGGTAATCTAGCCCAATTTTAAATACCACTGTGTTTAATTTCATGTTGTAGCAAAAAAGAATAACTTTTAGTAAAATAATAGGTATGTGCTGGATGCATTATAGTTGGTAAACATCAAGTTCATTTATATTCCTATGTATCACACTATGTGTGATTTCTGTTCATATGCATAACATGCACCATGTAGTTATATAAAGACCATTCTTGCTAACGTGTAGACTAATGACAAAGATCATGCTAATTGGGATACAGCAGGGAACACTGATTCTGTCAGTCCACATTGTGGGTGAGGTAAGATAGCTTCAAGGCCTAAGTGGATTGTGTTTTGAGTGGAAACTGCTGTTTGTAAAACACATGAACTTCACAGCCTCTGTCTTTTCCCAGAGCTCCTTGGTGGATGTGCATAGTCAGTTCTTGGCAGCATTGGAATCACTGAAGGTATTCTGGGATGTTATGGATGAAATAGATGAGAAGACATGGGTGCTGGAACCAGAAAAACCTCCCCGGAGTGCAACAGCACGCAGGATTGCATTAGGTAGGGGAGGAAGATGAGAATGTGTTCAGGTGTCTGATTTTATTTTATATCATTTGCAAAAATGAGTTTGAAAATGGCAGTTACAGTCTTAGATGAAACTTCTTTATATGGAGTCAGGTATTGAAACTGTTGGAAATAAAACCTGATTTTTATTACTACATGGTTAAATGCAAATGTTTGAGGTGGAAAGGGCAAGTGCTAAGGTGTTTCAAAAGGTGATGCTCGAATAGAAGCCACATTCAGATAGTGTTTTAATTAACGTTAGTTAGCATGGAAATTGTGGGGCAGATAATTCAAAATGTATGCTATGTAGAACAGAAAGAAGCCTGTGTTAGAAGTAGTGGTCTTAATCTTCTGTGGAAGCCAATATCTAGCAATACTTGCTGACAAAAAATAGATGAAAGGACACTGAATTGGGTCCTGATGCTGAGAATAAATGGAGGTAACGCTCCAAGTGAACCCTGAGATGATGGGTACCTCCTTTACCGTAATTACAAGAGCATGTGTGCAGTTCCCATAGTCTGTAGCCCCATCAGATTGCTGTTTCTTTATCAGCAAATAAAACAGAGCCTGTTTTAGAGTTCAATCTTTGTAAAGATTTTAGATTTTTAAACTGTATTTCTTACCACATTATAGTAATGTCTGCTTATAGTCTTCCCATTTAATATTTTCCTCTTTTTTTTTTTTAGTCTTGTTTGTAAATGGAGTTCTTAATTGGTCTTCAAAATAATAACCCAGAGTCAGATATAGAGGTAAATGCTGAGAGATCAGAGAGGAGCAAACCACAGCACACTTTACCTCCTTAGCATCTCTGCAGACAAGAGAGCAAGTTCCTGTTTCTCTCTGCTTATATCCCGTTTCCACCCAGCTACCTCGCTTCCTGCCTATCAGTACAGACCTCCAGGTCTCTATGCTTAGCTAGTGGCAAACTCCATTCTCTGACCTTCAAACAGGCTTTATTTGTGCAAGTAAGATATCACCTCGCTTGTTAAATACTACTGTAAAAGATACATTCCAATAGACATTTCTAAAGTTATGTGAATCCGGCTGAAGTCAGTGAGCAGCTTCTGTACTTTCTATATAGCATAGTAGGAGGGCAGGGCTGCAGAGTATAGTAACTGCAGAACTTTACTAGCAGTATTGTTTCTTTCCAGTTTGAGAAAGTCTGATAGTATTTAATTTGGGATAATCAATTATTATTGTCACGGCCCCATTAAAATAATTATCTTGAACCATGCTTTCTATTAGATTTTTTAATAGTTCACCTCAAATAATCAAGTTGTATTCATGCTCTGTATTTACTTTTAGCTCTACTTCCTGCTTTAGGCAATGATTGGCTGTATTCAGGCCAACCTTTGAGTTGAAAGATGTGTTACTGTGGCCATTGCCTAAAAGACAGCACTTTCTAGTCTATAGTAGATAACGTTGCCCAAAGCTAATGAAAAGTGTGTGCTGTACTAACAAATGGAGTGGGCAATTTTAATTTTTCTCGTTGAATGGCTATATCAGATATTACTTTTTTACTTTGGCCATTTTTTTCCAGACTTGTATATTTAAATTTAATATTGCCAACTTTAACAAAAAGCTTATATATAAAGCATAAATATTCACAAGGTTTTTATGTAAGTTTTCTTAGACATGTCAATTTTTACCAGTTGTAACACTAGTTTTTACTTTTGACTATGATCATATGAAACATTAAGTTTGTAAAGAAAGTTATGAAAAGTAATTTAGCTCATTATTTAAGTGTTATGATTTTTTTTATACATTCAAGTCCTTTATAATTCAACTGAAAATTTTTATTAAACTTTATTGGAACATAATTACCAGAACACCAGTTTAAGTTAATCATATAAATTTTGGTATTTTGAAACTTAAGGTCCCTGAATCTTTAATGATAATCATAATCTCAAAAATACTTCTCAGTGTTAAACAATGATGTGTTCACCTCTACACAACACTAAAAAATAAAAATAAAAAACCATTTGGCTAGTTGTTCTGAAGAATAAAATAGGTGGCTATGTCAGCGTCAGCATGCTCTGAGTTTCTGTTGGCTTGCTTGATGCTCTGCCCACATCTAAAAGCCTTCTTCTTTCATTCCAGGGCATAATGTTTCCATCAACATAGAGGTAGACCCCAGGCATCCTACCATGCTTCCTGAGTTTTGCTTTCTTGGAGCTGACCATGGTATGAGATCTTAAAGTTACGAATCTGGAACAGATTCATAAAATTCTGTCTAACATTGTTAAGTATTCCAAAATCCTAATGTTAAAATTGTTTTATATATATTTCTCATTCTGAACTTTATACTTTATAACTAAATATATAATTTAGATTTTAAGCCAAATTATGAAACAAATACTGTAGCAGTGGTGTCTTTTTAAAACAAGCACAACCGAGCCTAAATTATTAACTCTTTTCCTTTTTTTAATATTCAAAGTGATAAAACCCCTAGGAGTCAAGCTGAGTGAGAACATACATTTATGGTAGGTACCTTGCCAATGTAATTGGTACCATTCTATGGCTTAACAAACTTTATAGGAATTTTTTTTCTCTATGTTTTCAGGGATCCAGAAAATAGTCTGTTACAAAATTTGAAAGATGTTTTAGAAATTGATTTTCCAGCTCGTACTGTTTTGGAAGAATCTGTAAGTTTAATTATTGCTTTCATGGTCTCCATTTTGTGAATAATAAAATTTAAGTGCTTGTCTCAGAAAAACTAGGCTGAAAAAGAAAATAAAAATGGAGAAATTTTGAAACACAGATCTGTTACAAGTAACATTTATATCAATGAACTTGTAACCTCTGCTAGGTGGTAACATTGGCATCAATGAACTTGTTGACCCCCACTAGGCAAGTTACATGAGCTTTGTTCACCATCTTCAGCAGCAAGCATTTACTGACAGCTACACTTATGAAAACTACAAAGGAAAGAAGAGACACTAATGAGATGTTTGGGTTTTTTTGTATTGTCTTATGGATGACTACCGTAAAGTTTTAATTAGCTTGTGAAGGACAGCAGTAGTTTTTCAACAGTGAGCAGCATCATTGGTACTGTAAAGATAATGAAGGCAGGGTTGACTTTGGACTGAGCCACTGCTACTAAAAGTAAATGATGGCGTCAGTTTTTTTCTTTTGCTGTAGAATTGCACAATTTGGTGCTCACTAGCTGATGTCAGATCTATCTTTTTGCATACACAGACATGATTATGTATATGGAAAAACTACTAAAATGCGAAAATTTTGCCTGTCAAAAATGAAATCTATGTGTATTTGAGTGCAAAAGGGAACACTATTTAAATGACTAGGTGTTATAACCTGCTTGTATGTTCTATAATATAGAAGTATACTTTATAAAAACAAATATTAAGTAGTCTTATTTGTTCTTCCTAATCGTACCATATACACATTAAACAGACATGCTAACAAAAAGTTTTCTTTTGAAGGACTTTAGCATGGACTGTGGAATCTGTTACGCCCGTCATCTTAATGGTGCCATTCCTGATCAAGTATGTGATAATCCCCAGTGTGGACAGCCTTTCCATCAAATATGCTTATATGAGGTAAAACTAGCAGTCATGTACATATGAAATACAATATCTAAATTGTTTGCTAAAGTATTTCCCTCCTTTGCAATGAACTCCAATTGCTAGTCAATTTTACATTCTTCATTTACAGCCTTCATTTCTTTTTCTTGGATACTACTGAGTGTGCCAGAGAATCCCAGGGAGAAAAACAATCTATAATATACTCAGGAGTAGCATATTGACACATAATAAATTGGTAGTAGGTATAACTGAAATCTTCCTAGTCTGCCACCACCATGCAAATTCTCTAGATCTGCCAGATGAGGGTGATGGTAGGAATGGAGTAAGGAAATTAGTAAATAAGTAGTACATACTACTTTACAGGCTGTCTATAATATAGAATTATACAATAATTCTCTTTTGAATACTCAAAGACTTTTGTGACCTGAGCACATCTCAGCTTTTTATTTATCTTTTCTACATGAATTGTGCTTTCATCCTCAGGCATTTAATTCCTGTAGCATTCCTGTTAGGACACAGCTCTTATGATTACCTATCTCCAGACAACACACCTAACAGAGGGAAAGTGCCATTAGTTTTCAGTCTTTCTCTTTTGACATGGGTCTGGTAGTTGGTGTCATTTACCCAGTCTTAATGGGAACCTTAGACAATCATAAAAATACCAGGTCTACTTGGGAAATTCTAATGGAATCTGTAGTTTCTTTTGTAATAGTGAATGTTCACTGTAATTTTTTCAAAACTATTGCTTCTTGCTTGTAATCAGTGCAGTGAAAATTAACCCATTGTTGAATTAATATCAGAATCTCACAATCCTAAGATATGTTCTACAGAGAAATTATTGATATCTGGTTAGCTGGCTGAGGTATGTGAATCACAGGAACTTGTGGAGGTCTCTGTGTGTCTCTTTTGCATGTAACATGTGTAATTGTTAGCCACATCCTAAAGGGCCCATAATTTGCTTATACACTAGAAGTTTATATCCCAAATTTTAATACTGATTTCCCAATTATGCAATATTATAATAATTGGGCATGGGTTCAAACAAGGTTTACCTTTCATAAAACAGTACATGTGTGCACTGACGCTGTCCCTCACTTTCTTCCATGCAGTGGCTGAGGGGGCTGAGCACCAGCAGACAGAGCTTCAACATCCTCTTTGGTGAATGTCCCTATTGCAGTAAGGTAAATCAGTTGTCTGTTTCACAAAGTGTGCCCGCCTCTGGGGACTGTTACAGAAGTTGAACATGTAGTGTATTACATTGACTAAAAGCTTTTAGAAAGTGTTTTTCTTTATGTAATGAAATTATGGTAGTTTCCTGTGAGATAAGCTATCCTTATACATATTTTAATTTTCAAATGATCTTTGATCAAAAAGATTTATGTCTCCTGGATTTCATGGTGATCTTCAGAAAAGTATTTCAAAAGTGTATGGTGAAAGAATTTCTAATAAAAAGCCAATAGTAAATTAAATAATATTTTAATTCTTAAGAGTATGCCCAAAATTTTGGTAAAATATATTCTCTCTCTTTTTTTAAAGCCGATTACCTTGAGAATGTCTGTGAGAAAACCCTGAAGAAAGAATGAGACACACCTGTGAAGAGAAGGAATCCTTATAAATTGTTTTAAAAAAAATGATTTATTTGATGATTTCAGAGAAAATACAAAGCGAGACAAACTAGTACCAACAGGCACAATATAGTGAGTCCATAGTTATACACATCTGCCTTCATGTCTTCACTCAGTGTCACTGGGAAAGCTGCAGGACAAAGTCTTGGAGGACTTCCCAAGTCTGTGACACCCACATCACTGGTAGAAATATATCTGTACTGAGCTGGATACCTTGGCTTTCTGATTGTATCTCTACTGGTGGGATCTGGATAGGACTTACAATACGAACCTTGGAAACTCATATAGCTGGGTGTCTGTTGAAGACTGTGCATGTCACTCTGAAAATCTGAATACTCATACATATTTCTTCTCCTTGAGTTTTCCTATGAAAAAAATATAGTTTGTTAGATTTGAGTTATCCAGGCATTTATTGTGTACTCTGTAATAGTGCTAAATAAAACACAGCAAGCAAGTCTGGCATTGAAATGGCTTTTGACGTTTGACACATGACAGTGCAGAGTTATTTCCCAGGGATGATGTGGCTCCACAGCGCTCTAGCAGGCGGATTGTGTCACATGTCTTGAAACAGGAACAGTTAAACTGTTGACTGCTCATTACTTAACCTGATGGAGGTTCAAGGTTGCTCTGTTTCTGCTTTAGCTTGGTGACGTCTGACACGCCCTCTCCTACTACCAGTTACTAAGAAATTTAAAAGAGACAGTTTCGATTTTAAGAAAGCCAATGAACATCATCTTCTTCACTGTTGGCATCATATGTCATGCTGCAACCTCAGAACTGCCACTTTTCAAGCAGCTTTCCTTCACCCCTCCCCCACATGGTCACTTTCAAAGGTCCCAAAGGGTTCTTACATGAGTTATGGGTAGGTCAGGCACAGTGGTACATGCGTTTAACCCAAGAATTTGAGACGATTTCTGAGTTTGAGGCCAGCCTGCTTTACCTATCAAATTCTAGGTCAGTCAGAGCTACACAGTCTCAAACAATGCCACAAACCAATCAAAAACCAGAACCAAACAAAAGATACACTTAGGAGAGTTATTTTCTTATTAAATAGAAGCCAATTATTTTTTGAGGTTCAAATGAGAATAGCTTTTTACTGACAGTTTTAGTTACTAAAAGAATAAGTGACTCCCCTCCCACCCATAACAAATCATTCTCACGTAAAGGGAAAGAAACACTACTACCAAATAAATTTTCAAGGAACCATTTCCAGGAACCATTGTGAAGTTGGTTATTATACCTAGTCAAGAGCAAAAATCACACCACTAAATTTTTAAGAGGGATCTCCTGTGACTTTTACAGTGTCTCAGTAACAACTAATGATATCACATAGGTAGATAGTATACTAGTTGAGAAGGCAGGCTATGATACAAGCTTACAAATTTTGTTCATTAAAAACTTGCATGTTTTACTAGTAGTTTCGTTGGGACACAGCCTCATCCATTTGTCTGTTTCATCTGTGGTTGTTTTTGCAATGGATTAGTTCTGCCAAAAACGATGGGTTATAAAACTAACCTGGACACTTGAGAAAAATGTTGCTGGGCTGGAGTGTAACTATAGTAAAGAGTTTGCTTAAGTACATGTAAGGTCCTGAACTGACCATTGGCACTGAGAAGACGTTTGCTGGTCTCTGCGTAAGAAACTGGTTTTCACACGTGAGGTCAGTTGGTCACTTGCTCTTCTCTATGATAAAATACTCTGACAAAACTACTTAAAGGAGAAGGGCTTATTTTGTCTTACAGTTCCAGTGGGAAGGGACCATCATGGAGGCAGACAGAGAAGGCATAGTGGCAAGAGCAGCAATCTGTCTGGTGACAGAGCTGCCACACAGTGGAGCAGAGGGTGAACAGAACAACAGGTGAGCTTTAAGAAGTCAGTCTTTCCCCAGTAACTCATTTCCTCCAGCAAGAGTCCATCTCCTCAAGTATCCACAAGCTTCCCAAAGTACCATCAATTGGGAACCAAGGAGACATCTATCAAACCACACAGAAGGCAAAGAGATGATTGTATTAAAATATAGGTATCTCTCAGGTTGGAATATATTGTGGCTGCAACTCTGTTAGGCAAAAACATGGGCACAGCTGGTTTACATGTGTAGTTAGGGCTTAAGGCAATGTAGTAATCTATTGGTAGTATACTGGCTTTCAACCTAGAGTTATGCTAACCACAGAAGAAAACAATTAAATATCTGGGTTGCCACAACTGGGAGGAAGGGCTATTAGCATCTATTGGATACATACCAAGATGCTGCCCAACATCTGACAAACATACAGGACCATCATCCTTTAGCAAATAGCTAAACTCTAAGTGCCAATAGTAGTGCTTCCAGAAGACCATCTTTAGAGCAGTTATTAACCTCAAGTACACATTACCAGGGAGCTGTAAAAATGCCAATGCCACTTCGGCTCAGGCCATACATAATAGGTAACAAACAACCTCTTGCTATTAAGTGATGAAATGGACACAAAACAATAAAATTGGACAGAAGTATATAAAGCCACTTTAAAAGCATCTCAAACTAACAAGGAATACACAAGTAAAGACAATAGCCTAGACTTCAGAAAGTCTGCAATTTAAGATTTTAAGACCAAAACAGAAGAAAAACTATAAATAGAAGTCATGTTATGATCAAGTTCAGTGAATAAATCCACTTACAGGGAGCCAGAGAGATGGCTTGGTATTTAAGAGTATATACTGCTTTGGCAGAGGACCCACCTTTGGTTTCCAGCATCCACAGCCACTTGTAACTCCAGTTCCTGGGGACTCTGTGGCCTCTGTGGGCACCTGCATTAATGTGCACTTAGCCCACATTTAGAAACACACAGTGCATAATTTCTTTAAGAAAAAAAATATAAATTCCACTGTGAGAACAGACTCCAAACACTTTAGAGGACTTAGAGGAAAAGTTAAACCTTTTTAAAAGGATCTTAGCCTAGACATGAAAGTATCATCCAGTTCTGTTGAAAATACAACATGGAAAATTCAACCACTTCTGGCTAGGATCAATTGCTAATTAGAAACTGATGATTTGACAGTTACCCTGCCATTGGGACAAAGAAATGTCCAATTATCAAGGCTGTCCTAAAATAATAGTGCCTTAGCTGCCCATGTATCCATGCCACGTAATCGTACATGTATGTGCTTGGAACTCAGGAGAAAGGAAGGAAACAGCATGGACGATGTTAAGATTGAAAACTTTTCTAATTTGATGACAAAGTGAAGCCATGGATGAAAGAAGCTCAACAAACTCTAAGACCAACAGCACAAATAAGAAAATCCCTAGAATACAGCAGGACAGACATCCTCAGAGCATCTCAGGGATAGGTACAGCATCATCCAAGATCAACACACAATGATGAACATCCCTAGAGTACAACAGGATACATGACCTCAGAATCTCAGGGACAGGTCCAGCATCCACTGCAGGTTCAGAAGTGGAAACCATGAATTTGATTCAAAGCTTTAAGGAAACCCCAGGGTTACCTACCTGCCTAAAGTGGCTTCAGGTTTCATATTTCTAGGATTCAGGTCACCCAACAGGTGACTCAGAATTACTGTGAGTCAACTGTATTGAAAAATGTAGCCCAGACTGGCCTTAAACCAATGACAACCATCCTGCATCAGCCTCCTGGGCCCTGGGATTATAAGAGTGAGCCACCATACACCCAGTCGGTTGTTTTTAAGACACTGTCTTAGTTTTTGAGCTCTCATCAAAATTGATTATTGAATTGCTTATAGAATCCCAGGCTTTCTCTAACACAGGGCTTCATAAACTTTTTCAACTCTTGACCCCTTTATATGAAACAATTTTATGTGAGCCCCGGTATACAAAAAATAGGTATACAAATGAGATAGGTACTTACCACACATACCATAATTTTAAAATCATTTGTATACATAATTATACTACATATTAATGATGAAATCAGTTTACAAATTACTTCTTACAAAAGGTATCAAACACAGATAAATGTATCAATCATAGTGTTGATTGTTGACAAAGCTACTCAGGTTGTAGAACATTTGAGTGGCAGTGCTTCCTTTGTTAGTTAGAGGATGATTGAGATTTAGTAACATTAGTGTCTTTATACACTGCATGGCCATCATGATTCTGGCATATAGGAAAACCAGTACTTACGATCAAAGTGAAATATTCAGATAATCTAAAGGGAAGATATAGTATGCATATATACAGAAAGTAAAATTTGTTGAGACCAGCACAAATGGAAGAAAGCACCAAGTCAATGCACTATAAGACAGACCATGGTGGGCTGCCTATCCTCAATCTCCAATCAAAATCCCATTGTTCTGCTTATAAGGTAGTTAACAATTTAGGCCTTTAACAGATGGGGAGGTAAGAGGATTAAGGGAGGGTATACTGGGAGGGCCAGTTAATACTAAGGACCATTTGAGGGATCATATGGAAACCTAATATAGTAGACAATTCTTAAAATGTATGTGTGTATATATGCATGCATGCATACATGTATATGTATGAAAACAATCTAAATTGAAATTACCAAATAATTGAAGGTGATAAAGCCCTGACCAGACATCTCTCACCACCAAGTGAAATGGCTAGTGCCATAAATGGGTTCCATCTACATGAGCTGTTGGCCAATGGGGTCTCAAGGAGACCTCCAAACAACTCAGACTATTGCCAAAGCTTCAGGTTGTTCTCCATGAACTCATGGTAAAGCCCTGTTGCTGGAGACAACACCTACATATCTCACTGAACACGAAGAAGTCAAGCTGGTGCCTAACTAGAGCCTTCACCTCTACTGACTAGTGTTCATGATACTGGAGGGCACTCTGCATACTACCAGGAAGCTACACAACAGCCTGGCTTCAAACCCTGAGGTCTACAATGGTGACCTGTATGCATAATACACTGTTGCAACTGTGGCAGAAAATCTGTGAGAGTAACCAACCACTCTGACTGGATGTAACACTCCATGAGATGGAAACCATGCCCCACACTGCTTAGGTGACCAAGAACCTGAAACTAGATAGGCCAAGGACATAGGTAAAAACTAAAATTTAATCTGCTATAACAACTTAGCAATAAAATGATTCCTAACTACTTGCTCAGCCATCAATAGAGAGGCTTCCTCCTGTAATAGATGAGATCTAATATGGAGACACACAAATGGGCAATGGCAGAGTGAGAGACCTTGGAACACTCAGTCCTAAGTGTGATGTCTTTATCAAGCCTCTCCCTTCAGGGTGTAGGGAACACTGTGGAAGAGGAGGCAAAAAGATTGTATGAAGCAGTGGGGACGGAGGGCACCAAGGAAACAACAGGACTAATACACATAAGAACTCACAGATTGTAGCAGTATGAACAGGGCCTGCACAGGATCAAATGAGATGGGGTACCAGCACTGAGAGGGTAAGTGGATATGACCCCCCCAACCCAGTTGGTAATGTTCATGAAGGAAAAATCAGTTTTCTCCATGGAGTCTCACTGAAAATACAAACTACACTTAAGGGCAGCTCTGTGCCCAGCAGGAGATGGCCAACACAAAACAAACACAAAGGTAATTTTGGAGATGTTTTGTCTCATAATGGGCATTGTTTTTGTTGTTGTTGTTGGGATTTTTGTTTTTTTGTTTTGTTTTAACCTTGTGAGTCTTTTGCTTTTATATATTATGGCTTCTGATTTTGTGTTTTCATGGGTTTTGTGTAATGCATATAATATATATCTTTTGCTTTTTCTCTGTTTTTCCTGTTTATTTTGTTTTCATCTGGTTTGATTTTTTTATTATTTTTAATTTCCCAGTTTGCTTTATAAAGAGAGGAAAAGAAGGTGTGGAGTTGGATGGGTGAGAGGTCAGGACGAAATGAGGGAAAATGGTAAGCAGAATATATTGTATGGGAAATATTTATTTAAAAAAATTATGGGGAAGGATTCAGTTATCTATACTGGCTCAGGCCCATCTTGAGGTCTCACAAATGCCTCTCGTACTTCCCATTAAAGAAGCTAGAAACAAGGATGACTCATAGTTGACATGTTTTATCTTCCTTTATAGTCTCGTTGGCCTGATACTATGTACATCAAAATGACCTAGAATTCATGGCTATCCTGATACTTCATTCTCCCACAGGTTGGGATACATCCTTTTAGAACTTATTCATTTTATTATTGAATTGAAGCTAGGCTTCCTATGTGTATCCTAGGATGCTGTCCTCTGAGTATAAGAGCCCCCTAGCACCATGGGATGAGTAGGATCATCTAACTTGACTTCGAACCTGAGACTTCAGTCACTCTAGCCTGTGCCTCCCTGCCAGCTGTATGTAATTCTGCCCCAGCTGCATCTACCCGATCTTATGGTAGAAGGAGTTCCCACAGAATTTAGAGCATTCCATGTGCAAAGATATGAGGCTGTCTTCTTTGGTGTTAAATTGAGACTTTCTGGTATGTCTGTGTGGTGGTTTGATGAGGAGTGGCCTCCATTGGCTCATATTTGACTGTTTGGTCATTAAAGAGGCACTACTAGGAGGTGTGGCCTTTTCAGAGTAGGTGTGGGCTTGTTGCACAAACTGTTACAAGAGTTGCCATAGGGGAAGGGCCTAGGCCCTGCCCCAAATGACTTTACAGATTTTAATGGGAGGGAGAAGGAAATTAGATAATTTCTAATTTAAATAAAATGTGTAAAATTGTTTCCAATTTAAATAAAATTTATGAAGAAAAAAATCATAGGAAAGGATTCAGTTATTTTTAATGGAATGACCACTGGGAATTTGGCCATACTCTGATGAGTTTATGGGGAATAGAAATTGATCTTGGTGTATTTTTTTTTCTTTTTCTGGGGAGGGCACAAGGGTGGGAGGGTGGAACTAAGAGGAATGGGAAGTTAGTGTAATGAGGTGCACTGTATGAAATTCCCAAATAATCAATGAAAACATTACATTGGAATAAAAAGTTTTATGGAGGGAGCAAGACTTCAACCGTTAGAACAATGCAGTTTGTAAAGAAGAATGAACAAGTTGCCCTCCTAATTTTAGGATGTGGTGTAAAGCCACAGTAGTACATGTAGTGTGGTGCTGATCTAAGGAAAGATAAAGAACATGGAGGAGAATGGCCCAGAAGTAGTCCCCACCAACACAATTAGCTGATTTTTAAAAAAGCTTCTAAAGGAGTTCACTTAGGAAAAGAAAAAATCATTCCAAGGAATGATGCTGTGATAGGTCTGTATAAAAGAGTAGACCTCAACTCCCACCTCATGCCACACACAGGAACTGTGATGATATATACATGGCTGGTAACCACAATGCTATTAGTCATAGTATAAATATCTGTACTCAGAATTGATACTAATATACATGGGAGTGTGGTTACATGTAAAAGACTGCAACACAAAAATTGGAGAGGAAGTGTAAGAATGACCAGAACACTTGCACATATTGGTGGAAATATAAAAGGAACAGCAACTTTCCCTGAGTATTCACCAACATTTTAAACTTATTTATTTGTTGGGTTTGGGGATATGCTCATGTCATGGCCCATGTGTGGAGTTTCAGGGGGAAGATTGTGGGAGTCAGTCCTTCCTTTCACCATGTAGATCCATGGGGTCCACGGCAAGCTTATTTACTTGCTCAGCCATCTGGTCTGCCTATGTGCAAACATTTTATAATTGAACATATATTTATTTGCCCGATGATTTAGTAATCCCATGTTTCAGAAGAAATGCAATGTCCACAGCAGACTTGGGGCAGAATAAATGCAGTATTTCCCACAAATACATTAAACCAGAAGTGGTTCATGAGTCCACTAGAAGGAAAATGGACACGGGTTGTGGACTGACAAGGAATAATTAGTATATTCATGAATGCAAAGAAATCTCAAAAGGTAATAAATGAAAGAGGTGAACATAAAACATATGCTGTTATTGGAATTTAATAAGCAAACCTAACCTAGAGATGAAAATCAGAACTGATTCTGGAGTTAGAAGACTGAGAAAAAGGAGCAAGGGCTACTGGAGTGAGTGAGGACAACATACCACGCATCCCACTGAACCCACACATCCCACTGCAGCACACACATCCCACTGCACCCCATCATCCCACTGTACCCCATCATCCCACTGCACCCCATCATCCCACTGAACCCACACATCCCACTGTATCACACATCCCACTGCACCACACACCATCCCACTGCACCCCATCATCCCACTGCACCACACACCATCCCACTGCACCCCATCATCCCACTGCACCCCATCATCCCACTGCACCACACACCATCCCACTGCACCACACACCATCCCACTGCACCACACATCACCCCACTGCACCACACACATCCCACTGCACTACACACATCCCACTGCACTGCACATCATCCCACTGCCAGACCAGTCAAGGCAAATGTGTTTTTTCACTTGAAACCTGGGTGTCTACTTCCACAGGCCCTCCCTGTCTTACATGACAGAAGATTCCAATATACACTAAAGACTTAGAATTTCTGATTTTGTCACCAAGCAGTATTTGTGTTTAACTTTACAAGTGAGACTATAAAATATGCCCATCTGAAGTAGATTTCTGTATGTAAGTTTAAAATAAAACCACAAATAATGCCATTTCATACTGAATAAATGTAAAAGGGCCCTTTGAGCACTAACAGCAACATTTCTCTCTGGATAAACTTGTTTGCTGGTTGGATGAGAAATGCATAACTCTACTTCTAATTTTTGCCTCAGCTGCCAAGAAGTTCAGAGCCAAATTCAGTGCTCAGTTTAGTGATTAACATCCCAGCTGCCCCATATATCAATTTTTCTTGGGTGGAGGGTGAGAAAGGTGGGGGTATTAAATTATCCTGTTTCACACTGTGAACTGCTTCAAACCGCTTGCGAATGATGGTGCACAAATCAAATGAAATGCTGGCTATTCTGACTTAATTAAACTTTACTTTTCTCTCCAGATAAATTTTGTATGCTTTGCTTTTCCATCATAGGATGTCAGCTTAGGGAGGACTTTGCTGTTGTCTTCATGAGTCATCTGCAAAGGGCAAGTCATTCTCCACCCAAACAATTCCAAACACAGCCTGCTGACAGGCAGATACTACCCTTACATTTGATAGTAAGCATTAGAATACAGGAATCGTGTAAAGTACAGAATATGCAAGGGAAGGGTCCCTAATGGATTACAGTGTGCATTGTTACATTCTTAGGGGAAAAGAAGGAATTGGATCTTTCCACATGTGTGTTTGTCTCTGTTCTTGTAACAAATGCTGTAGGCCGCTTTGATTTTTACCAGGTGGACAAGACATCTTCTGTCCACATTTAACAAAATCATACAACCTTGACCTTAGGGGCAGGGAGTCTGTATTCCCACAAAGTGTTTATTCTAAAGTCACATCAATGAAAAGCACACCCAGATCTCACCTGTGCTGCTGCTCTGCTCAGCAGAGCTCGGGGCTGGCCCTCTTCATGCTCCTTTCTCCACGTTGCACTTGTCCCTCTGCAGGCTTTCTTTGGGAACTTATCTGGCAACTCAATGGCTGCTTTCATTGTAACGTTTGGTGAATCCACCTGTTGGTATGGAATAAGAATATGTAATGAAATGAAAACTGATACTTCTTTTAAAAAAAAGAAAACTCACATCCAGATTCTTTACAAGCCTAGGGTAGGTAACACTGAACTTGACAAAGAAACAAACAAGAAGCAAGGATGGCTATTATGGGGAGAAAAATGCAGTATCTATTGAGATCCAGACCCTTCCTCATCAATGGGACAAGACCAATTAAAATTAGTGTCACTGTTATGCATGCTTTAAAAATTATCTCTACAGAAAACTTGCTTACAATGAAAATTGTATTTTTATGGAACATTGTCACATTTTCAAACTGTATGTGAATTCATTATTAACCTTTGCTTCTAGTGGAGCCAGTGTATCTTTGTAGCTTAAATTCCTATTAATTAAGATCTTATTTTCCTATTGTTGAAGAGAGGCTAATTAATGTGAAAGTATACAAGGAGCTTATGCTGTTGCTTACATGGAGTGCAGGTAGTTTAACCTCAGTGCGAGATGAGTTCATGTCACCTGGCACCATGTACTAGGACCAGAGGTTAACTTCATGACAAGCTTGCTGTCTCTTCTTTTTCACACTGTGGTGACATCTGGGGAATGACTGACTCTCGATAACCTTGAAGTAGACACAGGAATAGAGGGCAGATCCTACAACACAGGTGGAAGATTGAAAGCCAACCAAGGTCCTTGAGTGAAGTGTTTGTTCAGCAGCTTCACGTTTCCAGCCACTCCAAGTGCCATCGCCTTTTTCCCTCGGTTAAATGGAGAGCAGGAGACAGGAACAGCACAAGGGGAAATAATGGAGTAGCCAGTGCCAAAATAGAGAATAAATTATGCTGGCTGGGCAAATAGAGCCTTAATTTGTAGTCTCTCAGTTTCCAGTTTCTGTTGCCAAGTGTGTTCATTCCTTATCTTTGAAATAGGCTGGTGCTCGGAAGGTGGGGCTAAGTTGTCACAACACCCTCCTTTAGTCCCACCTCCTCCGGGATCTCAGCATTTTAATGAATAGCAAAACCACTGCCTTTCACTAACCTGCAAATTGGAAATGTTTCCCAATCACTTGAAGTTTAACGTTTTTTTTTTTTTTTCAACCTCCCTCTAAGTCCATTGGGAAAGTTGATGGGACCTAAAAGCCACCCTCCCTAATATCACCTTGGTAAAAAAATGCATACTTGCTATTTACTTCACTAATGTGAAATAAGGGTACCCACACTTGTTTCACCCGGAACAGTGATAGAGAAGTCATTGTGAAATATACTCTGGATTAGCTAAAGGTTTTTCTCTTTCATCTTTATTCAGATTCAATCAACAAATGAATATTTAAGTTGTCTGCTGTGAGGTTTTGACATCTCACATTGTGAAATACCACAATCAAACCCATGCATTTATCACATCTGTATGTAGTGAGAATATGACATCTATTTTCTTAGTAGGTTTCAAGCACATGCCATGACACGTGACATTAATAAGTGTAGCTGTCATGCTGTATAATAGATTCCTATAACTCATTCATCTTATAACTGAAATGTTTGTGTCTTTAACCAACATACACCTGTTTTCCCCAACTCCAAACTTTTGGTATTTACCATTCTACTTGCCAGTGTCTTATTGGATTAGATTCCGAATAAGAGTTACAATTAGGCAGTGTCTGTCCTGACCTGTTGGGCATATTTCACTTGGTATTAAAGAAAAGAGGGATTTCTTTCATTTTTAAAGCTGGATGACTTTTCTTATTCAGTGCATTACTTTCCTTCATTCACCAGTGGATACTTGTTTCCCTTCTGCAAGTAACTCTAAAACAGAGATGCAAGGGTATCTGTGACATGACTTTATTTCTCTCACTATTTGTTCAGAACTGGGGGGTGTGGAGTTATAAAGACTGTTCTTATTTAAATAATTGAGGACATCTATTCTCTCCTATATACTAAGCATTTAAGGTACCAGTTTCCCCTGGGAACTTCTGACATATTGAACAGGATTGGGCATAGTATATATTCTATCCTGTCTGAGGCTTCCTGGAAGACAAGGTCCCTCGGGGGTCACGCCAGTGGCCTGAGGCTTATGCTGCAAGGCTATGGATGCTTCTATCTGATAAGTAAAGTGTTTCCCACCTTATGGAAGACTTGTATTTCCACACAAATTTATAATGCTGAGAAAGATGAAATAAATAAATTCTTAATTTTGAACAGAGTGAAACATTCATATTTACAAAGATAAGAAATTAAATACAGAAAACACTCCTGAAATCTTAGAGTACCAAAAGGGATACTACCAAAATATGTATCATTTTCAAGAAAATTCACTACTTAAATGATATTTTACTTAATTTTCCAATGTAACCTCACACTGTTCTATGAAACCAGAACACTTTATACTCCTAAACACTGATAATGAAAAAGTCTTCCAGCCAGGGATTCATGTTCCATTCCTCTCATATAGAAAGCACAGAGGAAGACAAGCTCATAGAATTATTTTAAGAATTAAAGCTGAAAATTTGTACCCCAGCAACACACATTTCCCTTTGATTTGCTGGACCTCAGATTGAGACTGAGAAAGGAACCACATTTTACTGTGTGCAGTGAAGGAAACTCAAACTTCAGTTCTGACCCACAGCTCTCTTGCCGCCTTGAAATGGGCAACTCCTCAGAGAAGGGGCACAGCTGGAGAAGAGGGACCGCCCAGTGCAGTTCTCCCACTGACTTTCCTCTCTGAGAACCCAGGAGCTGCAGCTGACCTCAGCAAGCACTGATGAGATACCCTTTCATTCACTGGATTTGAAAGAGTAAATGGCAGAGGGTGACTGGGATATAGCTGAATGATGGCATGCCTGCTAAGCAGACTTTAATCCAAACATAACGCAAAACAATATGAAACAAAACAAATGAGCAAATCCAAATGCTTCAGTGGGCAGCATAAGCAGCTGTGAGGCTGACACAATGAACCTTGGGACCCGCCTGGTGAAGACAGCCACCTCCAGGGCTGCTGGATGGTGTTTCAAATAAAGGGATTGCTTTTTCAGACAAAAGAAAAAAAACAAACAAACAAACAAACAAAAGACCCAAAACAACAGCATTTTTGCTATATTGACTAAAATTCATTTCCAGTTTAGCTCCAAAGGAAATCCCACAGTTTACTGTAAATGGTTTACCACACCCAAACATCTGTTAGTAAAATATCTCTTTACTTTGCAAAAGCACACTGTGCGTTCTTTCAGAAGTGTGATCGTTTCTAAGTCAAAAGCATTTTTGTAAAGAATCCTAAATTCAAAAAATTTCATCATAGAATGAAATAATATGCTGAAAGAATTTAACATACATCCTTTTGAAGAATAAATGGTAAAAAAAAAAGTTTATTTGTATATGCATTCTCTTTCAGGCACAATGACTTATTTTTAAATACCCGTCCAAAAAAAGTAGAAGAAATAGTAATTCTTTCAGTAATCTGTCAAGTAGCTGCAGTATCGCACATGCATAGTGACAAGGTGTACTCGGAGAAGATGCTTTGACATGAAAGAGAAAATTTGTAGCCACCAGGTCGACACTCCTTGATTCAAATAATTCTGTTAAGGAACCATCAGCTGCAGACACCTTCCCGTGCGCATCACTCAGCCCAACTGAGGACAGGATGGTAATGTCTGTATAGTTCAACATTTTTAGGTTTGACTTTTATAGCATTAATAAAAACCTGTAAACTGTAGAAATTAAAATTAAGATGCAATTTACCCACAGATAGTGAAAACTATATTTTCGACATATTTAAATATATATGCACATAAATAGTAGAAAAAATAAAGTCATTAATTAAATGCTGATATGCTATGAAATATGTCTTGCTAGCTACATATCCAACAGAAATTAAGATATTAAAGTTACATGTTATTTTTAAATAGTGTTACTTATAATTAAAGCACTCTAATCAAAAGGGAATAAAATATTTTTCATGAAAGCTCATTGGAAAATGTTCTACATTGTATTATTCTCTGCTTAAAAATTGGTTCAACAACAAATACTCTTTGACTTAGTGAACTGTATATTGTGGAGGATAATAATTAGAATGTTCTAGCAGAGGATATAGCATTATTTCTAAATGACTTTTATATTTCAATGAAACTTATGAAAGTGAAAACTACAAAAAAAAGGATGAAAATCTTCTTAAATTGGTACAGAGTAAGTGCTGACCGTCACTGTAAGGGGACACTGTCAAGGAAATGGTTCTTTGTTTCCCTCACTATAAGGGGACACTGTCAAGGAAATGATTCTTTGTTTCCCTCAGTATAAGGGGACACTGTCAAGGAAATGGTTCTTTGTTTTGTTGGAAAAGTGATAAAAATACAAAAGTCAATAAAACTGTTAAAAGAAGTCTCCATAATTACCAAGTTCAAAATCCAGTGGCTTTTCATTAAACATGAACTTTCGTTCTGCCTTCTGCAATATGTAAACAGTGCTGACAATTGGTTTGTGAGGCACTTGCTACAATAAAATGTAATTGTACCACGAGAGAAAGGTGACAATCAGGGGATCATGAAAAAATTACATATTCTCACTGGTAGTTAATTAGCCATGCAAACCCTCCTCAAACAGATATTCTCTTCTATTAGGAATGATTACTATGCAGGCCTACAGATGTCAATACCACAGTCACTCAGATACTTCTTTTCCTACTAATTGAAGGTTGTAAAGCTCTGGTGCCAAGGTTTTGCTTCCAAAGAGCTAATTTATGACTAGAAGGATATTTTATGTCTTCAGTTGCAGCAGCTACAAAATTCCGCAAATCAGAACCATCTGTGCACTGAGACTTGACTCACCATTCATCTAGCAGCCTATCAGTCACATTAGCCTGCATCCTGCATTCTTGGCTCACAAGCACTTGTGATGTTCCAAAGTTCAGAAGAAATACTAACGTAGATGGCATCCTAACCTTAACTTGTACCTCCACCAGAATACCCTCCACATACCTACATTAGTTTATGTATATATTTACTTGTTTAATGTGGATAGCCTCAAGTGACAGAGTCGTTTCCTTGTCTGTGTAACGGGGTTACAGACTCAGGTTTCTACCATTCTCTTCTCAAAATCCTTTGACTTTATACTTCTTTGCTTTAAGTATTAATTTTTTAAAATTGATGTGAGGGCATCCATTCAAAGAAGAACAATAAAAGAGACAACAAATACAATAACAACTTCATTAAGAAAATAATTCCTTCTATAAGTTGAAATATCAATAGATGTATATTAATAATTTCTAAGAATACTATCTAGCTCTGTATCATGATGAAAATGGGATGCAAAGACACAGGGCAAGAGTGAGATCCACAGAACTGTAGTGAGAGAAGCACAGGGCAGAAGTTAGGGATCCACAGGCCAGGAGTGAGAGATCCACAGAACTGTAGTGAGAGAGATCCACAGGGCAGGAGTGAGAGAAAGCCTAGAGAAACAGAGAAGGGCTCTTATGAATCAAGGTGGAGTGGCCTTTAGCTTTGCCCCAGCCAAGGCCATCAGCGATTGCTTCATTCTTTATCAACATACAACAGGCATAGATCCCATTATAAGGGATAATACGTCAGAGGAACTTTCAGGTTTCTTAGTGCTGGGTTAAAAGAAATAAGAATTAACGTAGCAAGCAAGTCGTTTTGGACCTGAAAGGTCTTCACAGGAGCACTTTCACAGTGTGCAATTCCAAGATCACAAGTATCATGTTATACTTACTTTTTGAAGGGTTGGAGTACAGACACGGACACTCTGTGCTTTAGTGGAAAATTCCAGTGGTCCTAAAGGTACCCCATTGGGATTCAGAATTTTCTTGAGCTTCTGATAGTCTGGCTTTTCATCATAAGCTAAATTATGGACACATACCAAGAACTGGGCGAGTTCACCTGTGAAGTATCAAAGTTTTTACATGTCACTCATAATTGGGAAAAATTAGTAAAACTCTAATAATCCCCAAATTTTTCTGTTACGTTTTTCCTACACACACATACACACACACACACACACACACACACACACACACAAACACACACACCTGAATGAACTAAAAATAAGTCAATAAACAGCATTTAAGATAAAAAATATTTTAAATCAAATGGCATGCTTTGCTAAAAATGTGATAAACTGACAATCTTTTCAACATCTCTTTGCTGATATGCTTACCGTGAGCTCAGTGCCAGGTGGAAGCACCTGTCTGTACAATGACAGTTACTAGCCTGGATTTATGTGGCACAGCTACTAACTACTCAAAATCACAGTAGCTCAATACACTTTTCTTTTGCATTAACATTTAAACATTCACTTAAAAACAAATGTTATTCATTATAAATCTTGAGTTCAAAGGCAAAATGCATTGCAACTTTTACCTACAGCTTTCATTTTGTTATTTTATGAATATATTTGGAAATGAATATGGATTCCACAGTTTTAGTCATGCTTGGCTTTAATGGAGAGGAACCACCCCTCTCATCCCCCATACCCCAGAATCCCAGTGCATTTGTGCTATTCCTGATTTTAGGTCAGTAGGCTGAGGAGCTATCTTTTCTAATGTCAAAGTGTGTCACAAGAGCCACAAAGTAACTCCTCATTCCAGCTTCTATTTATCTTAGTGATAGGCTTTCAAGCCAAGGCCTCACATGTGCAAAGTACTCTGCCACTAAACTAGTCCACCCACTAGTTTTTGTTTTTTTTTTAAATAAGCACAATTAATAATAAAAAGCAACAGAACTGCATTAAAATGTCTATGCTTTGTATGTTTGTTTCAGGAGGAGGGTCATGCTAAAATCATCATATTTTCATTTGTTTAAACACTTTTTATATCTGCTTTTCCCCTTCAAAGACTTATTACTGACCCAGGGTACCTCATTCTTTCTCACTTGGGTGTTTATAATCCATGGCAGGAAGGTCTGGACAGCTTCATGAAGCTGAGGACCTAACATTTTTCCTTCCCTCACATCCTCCCTCCATACAAACCAACATGTAGAGGCACTGGGTCTCACTCCCTAGACAAAACCAAATTCCAAAAGTAATAGTCACTCTTTCTCTGAAAAGCAGGTGACAATTTTTGTGTGTGTATGTGTATAGGGATGTGTGTGTGTGTGAGTGAGTACACTCGCACAGGCACATGTGAGTTTATGTACCCATGGAGGTCCGAAGAGGTCATCAGATTCTCTAGCACTGGAGCTTTAAGTGATTGTGAGCTCACCAATGTGGGTACTGGGAACTAAATTCTGGTCTTCTACAAGAGCAGTAGCCCCTCTTACTAGCTGAGCTATCTCTCCAGCCCCAAGAGTGACCATTCTATACCACAGAGTTTTTATCTGGGAAGGAAGAGCTAGTTAAAATGAGAGCCCCTGGTTCTGCTGTTATGGTTGTCTATTTTCTGTTTTTAACAGTCTAGCCATTAGGCAACTTACTTTCCCCTTTTTCTTCTCCAACATATGAGACATATCAAGCTCTGCTACCTAACATTTAGTTCACCAGATTGCTATCAACCAGCTCCTGTTTTAGAGCTTAGAACTGGTGTTCTCTGGTGTCCCTTTAGGTGCCAGTTACTAAAGAAATAACAACAGTCTGCCACTTTCTGGGACATATTCTGCTGCTTTTTAGTCTTGCAATAGCTGGTCAGCTGAGCTCAGTATAAACTACAAGTCTATTAATCAGAAGATCCCAAATGGAGAACAGAGCTGAGTTTGTTGGGAACAAAATGCTTGTTGTAAGACAAAGGAGAATTCCCTGCACATCACCAACTGAGAGCAGCTGTACAAAAGGCCTCATGGGCCTGAGGTTTAGAAAATGTGGCACCAGAGAGGATCAGGAGGGCAAAAAGAAAAAGGACCACCCCATTATGAACTTGTTATCATAAGCCTGAAGCTCAGAGCTCTGGGATGGAGCACTGGTGTAAACATCAGCCTTCCAAGGTCTGGCTTTATTCCGTGAAGTATAATCTTTAATTGGCTTGTGGATTTCCAGAGCTGTTAAACAGAATGCATCAGGTATCACAGAATTGGTATACTCCTGAATTACCTGCTTTTTGGGCTAGTGATATATTAAACATCACCATTGACTATATCTTTATTCAAGACAATACTTCTGAAGGTACTACACTGAGTTGGACACACAGGCCACGAACTTCTGCATTGCCTTATATAAAAAAGATAGGAAAAGAACTTTGTAAATCAGTTTATTTTCAAAACTGTGCTTGCTCTACAATCTCCTAAGAAAATGTTGCTATTAAACTCTGTGCTTTAAGAACTCAAACCTGCTTATATTTAGGAGCATAGACTAAATTCATGGATATGAAAATGAGGAATCACACTTTTCATGTGACTAAAATTCTAGCATATATCTAATGATCAAAGTATCATGGCACATAGATTGGCTCACAAGCATCCACCCCTTGTACAATCTGAGGCATTCAGGCCTCCTTCCTTTTCTAGACCTGAGCTGAGAGGACAAGAAAGTTAAAGGAGGCATAGAATTTGAAAAGGAAATGACAACTTTTGCTTTTTGTCTTTCTGAGAAAATATGCTATCTACTTGGTAAGAATAATGTCAGTTTTATCAAGTTATCTAATACAGTTACAGAACAAAACCACCAACAAAAAATGGGCAATTTTCACCTATCTCCCCTCTTTTGTCCCTTCCATTATACGAAAAATATCATAGAAAGGGGAAGATGAGAACCTGGCATGATGACATTCAATGGGACTTGGGAAATGGAGGTGGGAACAGGCTTGGCTTGCTCCTCTTTGATTTCCTTTATAAATGACAACTTTGGTTCACGGTTAAAGGTGAGCTGTGATTATAGGCTGAGACGATATTTCCACTGCTCTACTCACACATATGCTAAGGCTAACCTTGAGCCTCAAGTCAACAGAGAATAAGACTCACTCTGCTGCCACATAGTGGTGGTGCATATTTTTAATCCCAGCACTCAGGAGGCAGGGGTAGGCTAATCTTTGTGATTTGAGGCTAGCCTGGTCTACAGAGATAGTTCTAGGAGGACAGCCTGGGCTACACAGAGAAACCCTGTCTTAAAAAAGATTCACTCTGCTAATCTGCCCTTGGAAAAAGAAAAGTCTGATGGTAGAGTTAGCTGGCTCTTCTCTATATGACAAAGCAGCTTCATCCTGAAGTCACTACTGAATGACTCACACATGCATAAACAAGTGACAGAAATGAGAACTGCAAGTTTATTTACCAATCATACCAATATGAATGTCACAGAACATGAAAAAGTCTTCTACAAATGTGAAGGAAAAAATTGTTTCAAAAATACACCTCTACACCCCCTAATCGGGTGGCTTTCTAATCTGAAAAGTTTTGCTGATTGATCAATATAATGTGACCCAGGTATAAATAGCATTTAGGCATGTAATGGTTAAGTTTTTTAAATATACTGACTCAAAAATAGTCTTACCTCCATTCAAAAATATCTTAATTCTAAAAGTACCAGTTGCTATTAGCTAACCTGTGAATGATTCTCACAATATAAATCTAAAACTCTAGATCAAAACAAAAAGCTAGAGCTCCACTGCTTTGGCTCAAATGTCAGAGATGATTTAAACATCTTTAGCAAACTATCTGTGACCCTGGAGGTTTTGCCACTATGGGAATGGGAGTGGATCAGGCTAAGGCCTACAGAGTGGCAACTGTGATGACCTGTGGAGAGAGACATGCAGAGGGTTTGTCATCCAACTTACAGCAACTACTTCCAGGAGGAGCCCACGAAAGCACTGATTCTGGGAGCTCATCCAGCAGACTAAACAAAACAGGGAAAGGACATGGTAAGTGTCTTCAACTCAGGTTCACTGTTTCCATTAGAACATAAAATTCTGATTTGTGTTGATAAGACACGACAATTGTGCCCCCCCTTTTTTTATCCAACTGTAATGGATGGGAAGATTAGCAAAGGGGGGAGGCGTCCTCAGTTCTAACTGGCCAGTTTTACAGCTGTAACTACCTAGAGGACAGGCAATGTAGAAACAGAGAGGATTTAACTCAAGTTGTATACAATTCAAGACTGCAGAGGTAGAAATGCTTGCTATGATGTTGCCTCAGAAACAACAACAAAAAAAATACATATAAAATTGTTTGTGGATGGTGAAGTCATTTTTTCCTCATATATTTGTCGCTTGAAAGGTGTGGGGGTCTCTGCAGATGTCACAGCAGGCAGCAGAACTATTCGAGAAAAGGTGAGAATGAATGAAAACTCAGTTCAAACTGACTTTGTCAACCTTGATCAAAACATCTGGGAGTCTGTCGCCAGGGGGTTTATTGTCAGCATATTTAAACCCAATAGAGTATGGGGAAAAGGTTTCTAGGAAACAGTCATTCCAATTCCAGGTATACAATAAAGCTTAGGGTATGACTACATAGAAACTCATTTGCAAAATACACATGGCCTTGAAGGTAGGTTCTACAGCTAAAAGGCCCAGTATCTAGCATGGTCTCTGACCAAGATAGCCATAAAGTACATGACACCTCCCCTAAGGATGAGCTCTGTTAACTGGAAGCTAAAGATAAAGGTTTAAGGAAGGAGAGTCTGGGATAAACATTCTGGGGGGTTTGGGTGAGATCTGACTCCACAGATAGCAAAGGTCATTAGGTTGTTAACAATATCCATTCCCATATTTCTGGGTGGGAAAACAGGCATTTTAACTCCTTCATTGAGGAGAGGCCCCTGTGTGTTCAACATTCCTGGTTTCCCTGGTGATCTGTGGGCAAAAAGACCTTTGAGCCCCCAGAAAAATCATATTTTACTCGTGAATTTACCACTGGAGAGGGATGGTTTTAGTTATTTGTGTGCAATTGTTTTCCCCTGGGAAGAGTTCATACTAACCAACGATTGAATGAGTTAACAAGAAATATCAATAAAATGACACACCAATTCAAAACAACAAACACCAGTATTTTTGACTAAATAAATATGACTCTCTAGTCTCAACTAAAATTATAGTTTTGAGTAAAGGGTTCACAAAGAAACTCAAGCAGAAAAGTACAGTATGTGCAGTGATCTCAAGTGACCCATGACACCAAACACAGAGGGACATTGCTGTGTCCAAATTTGCCACCCTGTCTCATGTTACACCTTCATAGGCAAATAAAGGACTGTTTATTATATAAGAAATCTGAAAAGTTTAAGTTTTGACATATAATATGTTAGCTCCATTAGTGTTTAGATTTATATTAATCAAATTAAAATGAAGATATTAACATAAGTAAAGTAGAGGTAATGTTTAACTTATTAAAACCCTATATTTGCCACAGTACCTTTATTATACATGAATACATATGTAGACATACTCATTAGTTATCGAAATGAAAGCATCTATGCATACATGTTGATACAAGACTAAAACAAGCCATTCATAACTCTTATTAAAAGAAAACCTGCCAATGATCATTGGAATTAAAATGTTGGCCTTTAACTGAAATACACTACTTAAATTATACAAACTGAGCTGACACACAGGAGTGTTGATACCTATGAGTTGACTTGGCCAGAAGTGCAGAGCATGTCAGTTACCCAAAGACAGAAACGGATAAAACTCATTAGAGTCCCAACTCTTAACTTATACAAACATGTCAGGGACTAGTGTACTCAAGATTCCAAGTGCAACTATTGCATATGTCAGCTAGCAAACATCTGTCACTTCCAACCTTTAGTCGAAACTTTCTATCTTGAGCACCGATCCTACAATGAATCCAAGTTTGGTGATGTAAATCTCTAATCCCAACACTTGGGAGGCTGTGGCAGGAAGATCACGTGTCTGAGAGCACCTTGGACTATAGAGTGAGAGCCAGTTTAAAAAATTTTTGAATTCATATGATTGACTTATATGGCTGAGCAGCTGCCCCTCCATGTCCATTTTCATTGTTGTCCTAAAACTCCACTCTCTAGGTACAAAAGTCTCTCTGTGGATAACTATCTCAGCCTATCCTAGTATGTGAGGAAAAGCCACTCAGTGCCTGGGACTCAGCTGTAAAACACAAACACTTTTCTAAAACTGACCTCCTTATGCTAACAGAGTCGAGGTAAAAACTTGGAATGTAGAATATTAGAAAAGAACTACAAGAGGATTTCATATAAGTAGCTCAGGTAAATGTTTTGTTTCTACCTCAAGAAGCAAAACATGTGCCTTCTGGGGCAGGACTGTGGGTATGCTGTCATCTCCTGAGAAATGCAAGCCAAGCTCTTACTGGTGCCTCACCCTGCTTCTCTGCACAGCTGCTATCGGTCACACCAAGTACAGACTATTTCCATAGCCAGGTCCCACACTAATTTGAAAACAGTCCATCTTCTAAACACCATCACCTAGGATCTAAGTGCTGGGAAATAGCATGCCCAGAAAGAGATATTTTATTTTATATTTGCACTATAAAATTATCTATACTTTATAATTTAAAATCTTAAAGGATTTTATGTCTGTTCCTGATTTTGTTTTTTTAAACAATAGCTTTCAAACTAATGATATTTGTGTTGTCATGGTGGCCAAGGAGCAATTTTGTCTGGCATGCCCACTCCCCTCCATGGTCTCTTAGTCCTGATGCATAAAGGGATGGAATATTTGAGAATCCCTACTTGGTTTTAGCAGTCTGGACAGCCAAAGGGTCCTCAAGGTTTGTGTCCCAAGGCAGCTTCCCACATAGCCAGCGCAGCATGCAGTAACCAAGGATCTCAACGTCGCTTCTTCTGGAAGGGGCTACAGACAGGGAAGGATAAGAAAGTTCGTGAGAAATAGACAAATCTTTGAGTGAGCTCCCATTGATGAAATATGAAAAAGCCAAATGGCAAAGTGTTATGTTTACTCAGCTGGAGTGAAGTTAACTGCCTGGTCCTTTGGCCTCAGTCCACAGACAAGCAGGACTTGCGGCTGAAGTAAGGGTCAACTTCCTCACCTCCTCCAACTTCATCTTTCCTTAGTCTAGCCTGTCATATGAACTTGATCCCATGGCCTCTGACATGATCCAGACAACCCATAACCCAGCACCAACACTTTCTCAAAGAGCCAAGCAGTAAAACAAAGAAATAAATGTCTGCAGCTAAATTGCTAACACATGTTCCAGGAAGTCCATGGGGTCTGCCTCGGTCATGCAGAGACCCTCTGAGTGCAGACTAAACACTAAAGGCCTTTCCTAGTCTGTCACACTAGTGGTTGCATTTGAAGTCAGAAGAATATGACAAAACTGCCATCTAGTGTGCAGTCTTTAAAAGCAGGCCCATGAAGATGTTCAGTTAAGTGGAAGGGCAGCAACTGTGGGCACCCAGCTCCAAAGGGTACACACATCACCTCTAGACAGAGGAAGCTCCCCTTGAAAATACTAGCCTTGAATCTGAAGGAAAAAACCACAAGCGAGGTAAGCACAGAGGGAACATGGTGCAGACAATGTGGTGGGAAGAATATTCTGAAGGTAAAACTTTTAAAACACACTGAAAGAGCATGCTCAGACGTTGGCAAATATCATGCATATCAAACTCTAAATGCTGTGGACTCAAGTTGACACCTTTCCTCAAGTACCTTATATCAAAAGACAATGAGACCTAAGAATTGTTAAATACAACTGACACTTGTGAATAAGTCACTCACTAAACTAGTAACTAGCACACTTAGTGAATACTCATAAAATAAAATCATATTATAAGCATTTCAAGCTATTATAAAAACAGTAATCTGGTATTTATATTTATTCTACTACTAGAATGTCCATCTGTGTAGGGATATATAATATCCTGAGCAATATGTGGCTGTTAAAGCTGTTGTAAACAGGTATCCTATTTCATTGTCCTTCATTAAATAAACTCTGAGAAGTCAAGTCACAGAGTGAATGAAATAGGTATTTGGTAATTTATGAATCCACCCACTGAGAACAATGGTGCCACCACATTGTAGCTACTCTGGGTCACCATATATAAGTTGTTATAAAAGCAGAGTGCACAATTACTCCTACATACTGCTATTTGAGTGCTGGGTTATTAAAGCCCATTCAATCCAGAAGAAGGCCAGGCTCAAGGGTGCTATTTCTTTTCTGCACAGACTTCAACAATGTCCTAATACAGGACTTGGCTCTAGTACTAAAATAGAAACACAGACTCTAGCACACTGCTCCGAAATGATTTCCTTGGTGATAAATTTCCTATTAATAATAGAATGGTTCCATGTGTACAGATGTATACACAAGTCTCTTTCATGACAGGAATTCCCAATTACTATCAATTAAAAAATTCACATCCTTTAATATTCAAAACATGACATTCTGACACTTGTTTGGAGGATACCAGCTATACACGAAAGGAGGAGAAAGAAGCAACATGGATTAATGTGGAATGAACCTTCCCATGACTCCAGCCACCCTCCACCTGAGGGTCTGATAGAAAGTTGCAAATACTGACAAGTCATTTAGATTTCTGAAACCAATATTTCACGAACTCGTCTTCATGTAAAATAGGCTTTTGAAAGTTGAGTTCACTTCAGTATTATCTAATTAAATATATTATCAAATTTTTAATCTTTCACTATATGCACTATGTTAGTGGGTGAGGTTAAGCAAACATTTAATACTTCTCACTAAGTCCTACAAAAATACTTATAATGCTAATGAGAACGATTATGTTTTCATAGCCTAACAAGTATGACAAAAGCATCAAAAATGTTTCTGAGTCTGTCTCTCTGATTGAAAATCGATCCCAGAGATACAGAATGCTTGACTTGTTTTAGGGAAATCAAAGTCTTTCGATCTACAATTATCATGTCCACTTTCTGACTACTGTACAAAGAGGAGTAACTTAAAATCAATAGTTCAGAAGATACGACCACTTGCTACTGTGATAGAGGACCCAGGCTTGGTTCCCAGCATCTATATGGCTGCTCACAAACATCTGTAATTCCAGTTCCAGGTGGTCTAGCACCATCTTCTGGCAGCAGCAGGCACAAGGCAAGCGCATGGTGCACATACATGCCTTTGGGTAAAACACTCATTTACATGAAATAAAAAAATAAGTGTCTGAAAATATTTTTAACCTTGAAACTGATTGTTTCATTACTTATTTTCCAAATCTACTAGAAAAAGCTAACTGAAGCAAGAAATGGAAAGACTTCCAGATTAGGAATCCCTACAGCAGGGGTGAGTCCCAGCCCCACCTCCCTACAGCAGGGGTGAGTTCTAGCCCCACCTCTTCCATGCTGAGCTCTACAGTCCAATGTTCAGATAGTCTACCATCTTCAATACACTGGATTCATTTAGAGACACAAAATATTGTGGTTTGTTCCCTCTTGAAAACATGTTTGCACAATTCACTGTACTAAATAAGGTTCTCAGATACATTTCACAACCAATATTGCAATTATTTGTAGGTCTTCATACAGACATATAACAACTCAGACTTTTACTTTCTGTTGAAAATTTTGTTATCAAGAGTTTTCCTCTAAACTTTCTTCCATTAGTTTCCAAATACTATTTAGCATCTAATTTTATTGTGCTTACTAGCACAGAGTAAGGAAAATTACTCTTTTCACTGAGCGTGTGTTGTTCGAAATTGTTCAACATTTCAAAATGATAAAGTAATGCCAAGCATAACAATAATACAAAAATAGGCACAGGTGGGGACTCAACTTCTAGTTCAGAAAAAAACAGATTCCAGAAATAGCTGATGACACTAGAAGCGAAAATTAAAATAAAAGAACGTATATGATTTATGGAGAGCAGTTACTGTACACACAGTGTAGTGCTGTGTGATTACGTTTTAATCATTCCAGCAGTGTCAGTATTACTAATCATATTGGCACATTAAAAAAACAGAGGCTTAAAAGGTTAAACAACCTGCTTCATATTAGAGAGCAAAAAGTGTCAGAGCAACACTGAAGCTACATCGTTGAGAATGAAGAGGGCACATGCTCAGGCTGATGGCCGCCTCCATCATCAGCTTTACAGTCATTCAAAAGACATTATTTCACGTCTTTTAGTTATGGAGAGAGCTATATGATGCCAGCATTTCGACTTACAACACAGAAAGACACAATACAACGGTACTTGCTTGTACAATAAATAAGAGGCAGATTCCTCTCTTTGCTGGATCACTGACAAAATTCTCCTTGCGACCAGACCATCCTTCCTAGAAAGCTCCCTCCACATCACCCCATTAAGATAAAAGGGCCTTTATTAAAAATATTTATTTATAAAGTAGCAATGGTCCATCTAAGCTGATATAAGATCAACAGAAAGGTCACACTAAAGACATAGTCTGCACTCTAAACATAAACCAGGGTGAGTAACTGGACCAACTCACCAAAGGTAAAGAACGAAGAATAGGAAAATGTTTTAACTCCATATTTGTTTGTCAGTGTAGGTATGCTTTCTATTTGTTTCATTCCTCATATACTATGGAGGTGAAGAAGACACAGGATTTGGTAGGAAACAAAGCAAACATGAAAACACTTGTTTCCAGTAGACAAGATGTAAATGTCTAGAAGTGGTCGGAAATTATGAAAAAGTAGAAATGTTTGAACAAGAGGCTCACCTGAAACGGGAGGGGGGGTGCTATGACTGATGGCAGGAAAACTGTATATTTTATTCTTAGGTTTCCAACTGTGTTATAGAATATTTTGTCAACTCAGATGTACAAAGAGCAAGAAACTATTCCGGTGGCTCCTGTTATAGTTTGAGTATGACATGTCCACCATAGAATTGTGTAGTGGGGCTTAGTGGCAGACTGTGGGGCTTCTGGCATGTGTAGGAGGGGTGAACCCTGAGGGTTTTACTCCTCTGATGATTTAATAATACACTGGCAGTACTGGAAGTGGGAAGGAGTGGGGAGCAGGCTAACTGAAGCAAACAGTCCCTGGGGGCTTGGTCCTGGAGGCTGTGCCATTTACTCATCCTTTCTCTGCTCCCTCTTTTCTGCTCAGTGTTTGCCATGCTGAAGTGCCTGCTCCATGTGACCCCACTTCCTGCCCCACATCACCCCACCCCACGGCCATGATGTGTGCCTTCATAATGCATCCAGCGCCAGGCAGCCTAAGACCACGGAGTAGAACATTTAAGTCTGTGAACTAACACAACTCTGTCCTCTACAGAATTATTTCTCACAAAACAAAGTCTGACCAATATACTACCACTTATAATTTCAAAGGGGTAGTAGCAGAGTGAAATGCAAAGTATCATGTTTCAAATAAAGGGAAACCTAGTATCTGGGTTTTGCTTTTCTCTTTTTAGTACCTTTTATATCCCAATCTGTGTGGTGTGTGTGTGTGTGTGTGTGTGTGTGTGTATGTGTGTGTGTGTGGTGTGCCTGATTACCTTTTCATTTTAGGCACTGGGCATTATATGTTCCTAACCAAAGAGTTCAAAGAAAAAGTCAAGAAATATGACCTAAAATATAAATGTAAAAGGGGCACACAAATGAGATGGCTCAGTGAATAAAGATGCTTGCCACTAAGTTTGAGGACCTTACATTGTCCCCTGGTATCCACATGGTAGAGGAAAGAATAAAATCCCACGAGCTGTCCTCTGACTTCTATATGTGTACCACAGTACCCAACCCACCAAAATAAATGTAATAAAAAAACAAATGTAAAACAAAAGGCCAAATGTCACATAGATGCAATGCCTTCCTTGTCTTTAAATGTTGGCCAAAGGCTATACACAGCATTCAATTTTACATAACAAGAAGAAATTAACACTATAGTTTCCTTACTCCTTGGGAAATACTTAACCATATTTAATGGTATCGCTTAATATCCTATAATAGAAAAAGGTGTTTGCTCTTTCAACTTTGTTGTAGAATATAAGCTGTGTCACCGGTGCCATCCCCCAGTTTAGTAGCATGAAAACACATTCTCAGTTTCCTCCACATATATATTGTAAGTTAGAGTTCCAAAAGGAAATGAAAACATGCAAGAAGCAACACAAGACTTGGATCCCTTGTGCTGCAGCACATGGCAAAAAAATGTTAAAGTATGCAATGTATTTTTCTTTGACATTGGATATATTATATAAACAAATAGACACTTAAAATGCAATTTAGATATCATATTTTATGGTCATCAATGATGTCAGATTAAAACAGGTATTATATACCCAGTGCCCAGGTCTGAAGTGTTTAACAAAGCTCTGTCTGTTCAATGCAGTATGTCTCTAGAGAAATTAGGTATTGACTGCATGCCTCAGTGAGTAGAAAAATCTACAAAAATCCATATCACTCATTGATCCAAATATTGTTTCTTAACATTACTAAGAATGCAACAAATTTTAAAACAGTGTATTTGACACACATATAATTCTCTTTAATTATCTTGCAACAAGAACAAAGTATGTCAGTGCTCGTACATGCTAGTTTTTATGGAGAAAATATTAATAATGAAGAACTATGCCCAACATCCTTACTCTGGTTTTATACTGATGCAGTAAGTCAGCTGCAGAAACTTCCCTCAGGTTACACAGAGTCCTGAGTTTGGAAGAACAACTGCCATGTTTAAATGTCATGCCATCCACAGCATTTCCAGGAATCACCATCTTGCCATTTGTCCTTTTGTCCTTCCATCTCATCTCAGTGTGTCCTTCTGCCCAGCTTTTGGTTTAGTGAGCTACCTTGTAGAAACCTGGTCTTTTCTTTTCTTCCCTGTACATGACTATGAATTAGAAACATGTAGATAAGAGGACTAAATGGCACCTTAGACAAATTCCTTGAAAACTTGGCTATGTTCTCAGTGTCTAGATAACAATAAGGAGAATACTCAAGGTCAGAAGACAGTGTGCTATGGGGGAACAGGCCGCGTGCTTGTCTATAGAGAGGCACACTTGCTGTACAAGAAACACTCTGACAACCACAGGTTGTTTCACAGTGATAACTCTTCCTGATTCTTGCTGCTTTCTTTTGCATTGTTTTCTCCCCTGGACTGGAATAGGAAAAGATTTTTCTGATATTAAATCATACATTGACTGTACTAATAGTTAACATGAATATTTATGAGTCTGATTTTCCCAACTTACATGTAGAATTTGATCCTTTTTATTCTGGGTTCTAAATATAGTTAAATGATTAGTTCATTTCTAACAAAATTCTGAGCTGAAATGCTTAATTCGTAAAATTTAATGAAAAGTATTAGGCACAAACACTGTTCAAACACAGTGAGAATATCCAATCTTCCATTGTTTTTAATCAGAACAAATACACATGTATTTAGCATATATGTTCATATACATAGTTATATGTGGGCATACATACATTTGCAAAATACATGAAAGGAATCCACTATTTTGTAGGAAAGCTGAGCCATTTGTTGTTAAATATACACTCAATTAAGCCCAAGACCACAGACTTCCCTGAAAATCTCTTTCCTGAACATTCTTTGAGATGCAGCACCATATCCATGATGACACTCAGCACAGTCTTCTTCCCAAGACCCAGAGTGGGGAAATCTACCCAGTGTCTTAATCAGTGCATACTATGATCAGGAGGGGGAAGAAGTTTAAGTTGAGTACTGAATAGACATTGGATTACATACTTCATGAAGACAGCATAAAAACAATACTATGGAGAATTAACTAAAAAAGACTTTCAGAAATACTGCTGTCCGACCTTTGGTCAAAACAACACATGACTACTCTTATTCATCCTACAGTTAAACAGAGTCTTCAGCTGCATAAGCATCAGAACATACATTAGCAACAGTGCATAAGAATCTGTGTGGTCCATTTCCAGGCACAACACCAGGTAAGGAGTACTTTCATGTCTGAAAATTCTGTTCGATATCACAAAGTAAGTCTGGCAAATGTTCTTTGGCTCATTGAGAGAGAGAACTTAAAGTCAGAATGTACCACTATGTGAGCTGGAAATGACACAGTGGTTAAGAGATGCTCTTGCAGAGGACATAGGCTCAGTTCCTAGCACCCACAGCATGGCTCACAGCCATTGAGACCTCCAGTTCCAGGGAATCCAAGTCCCTTTTCTGACCTTGCTTGGTATGCACCTGGTACATGTAGATACACACAAGCCAAACACTCATATACATAAAATAAATCTAAATAAATTGTTTTAAAAAGCATCACTATCAATCAGCACTTTATTTCCCTATTTCCTAAATTAATCAAAGCCATGTCACATTTCACCTTCAAGTGTTAACTACATCATTAACAATGTAAAGGATGAAAAATTACACAGCACTGATCATTACTTTTCTAAGAAAACCAGACTTGGCAAAGACATGTTCTGATTTCTTTCCCTGTGTTCCAGAGTATAAAAACTGATTTTCAGTACAGAAACCGTCCAGTAACAATCTTCCTAGGAAGAAGGTGGCACACAATCAACACACTGGCTCCACCTTCTTGACGGCCTTCCTTAAAAGACTATGGGTTTTAATTGCTCTGGAAATGATCAGCACCCTCTGCATTACATGGTCAATGGTCCTTTTAATAGAAAAGACAATAATATACAGTTGTTTGCACCAAGTAAAACTCGTTAGAAAGTATTAGTTTAGGGTAACAGCCCAACAGCCATTCCCAGCGCAGAATGTCTGTCTAGCTGATGCTCAGTGAAGATGTATCTCTTTCAGAGCTGTTTAAAAATTATGTTTGCTTTACCATGTCTGACAACACTTTTATAAACAAAGTTTGCAGAGAATATAATTTTGAAAGCCAAAGTTTTTTAATAATCACCATTTTTTTCACTAGCATAACATTAGAATTGACTTTTTGTCTTGCTGACAGAGCAACTAAGAAAGTACAGTTGCACTGAGCATATTGATTGTGAGAGAAGCAGCCATCAGTGGGACTCAGCACCATATATTTTCAATATTGACCTCCTACTTCCTTTTCCATGGCTTTCTGGGTCGGCTATTGGATTTGGACTGCAGAGTAATAAACAGCTAAGGTTTAATTAATGGTAAATGAATACAAGACATAGGTTATGACTTTAACTAATTAGGGAATTGTTGAATTAAGTCTGCCTTGGAATGCAAGGCAGTACAATCAATATCCAATAAAAGGGCTATGTATGTAATTTACCTGCAAATGTGTTTCCAATACCATCAAAGTGAGTTTAAATAAGTAAGATCTATGAAAGGCGACTGGGAGAAATTTCCCAAGTTAACACTTTGGGGGTTCAGAAGATGCTGCTGCTGTGGAAAGATCTCTTTCAAGGCTCTGAGAAGGACACAGTGCTAACAGGATAGCACATGAGGGCCACTGATTCTGCTGTCCCCCAGTACCACCCAGCAGCCTCACACACAGACCTGTGACTTGTCAGCCTAATGAAGGTCGTCAGGCTTTGCTGCTTTCTTGAGAGCCATAGTCTCTGTCCAGTCACATGGTTTCTGGTTTCTGTCAGACATTCACTAGGATAACAGCAATTCACTACTTTCCACAAAAATCTCACCAGAGTGCTTACCCTTCAGCCTGACCATGCAACATTCATCTCATGTAACTTCAGCATGTTCAACACAATCATTCTTCTGAGATTAAAAATGTGAACAGGAAAAGAGAGACTTACCTACTCCTTTGTGGGCATCCAAACTTGTAAACTCTATCGTTCCATTATGGCCCTTCCTGGGATTTTCCTGATACTGTTTATGGTTCCCATTGGGACAGTATCTGTAGGAAAGTCCATAGTCTGCAAGATAAACCTGGAAGAGATGGAGAGGCCAATGAGTAATGTCCTCTGAAAATATGACCTTTACAATTGAGTCTTTAGAAACCTGTAAGTTGTAGGTGAGAGAGATGGGTCAGTGGGTAAAGATACTTACCACAAAGCCTAAAGTCCTGATTCAGTATCTGGGACCACATGGTGGGAGGACAGAACCAAGTCCTCTGACGTCCTAACTTCCACACATGCACTGTGGTACAAGCACACACACACACACACACACACACACACACAAACACACACACCACAAAATAATAAATGAATTACAAGTTTTAAAAGGAACTTGAAAGTGAAACCTCAGACCTCAGATCAAAGTTCCACTAAACCAAATAATGGATAAAATATGTACTAGGAACCAAGACAACCAACTTTCTAACTTAAATCCTTGCTGCATTATAGGTCAGACTCAACTTTATTCCTAAGTGCCTTCTCCTCAAGTAGACAACTAAATGCACTTTTTCATCTGATGTCACATAGGTTACGAGGTTCTGCCTTTTAAAAAACCCTTTCCTGAAACTGTGTTAAGTACAGAAGGCAGAGCAGATGCAAGCAATGTTCTTAGTGTTTGAACATGTTACGTCTCTACTGGTAGGAAGTTTAAACAGTGAGCAGACTGTCAGGGGAGTAACTCAAACAAAACAGCAAAATAAAAAGTCCACCCCCAAACCCTCATCAATTGCTTGTGGTTAACAATGGAGGATCAAGGGATATCTGCTGGACTTTCAGGGACCCAGCTCATCATCACTGCCATTCGTGGAAGCCACTCATACTCTGAGCAGGCTCTCCAAACAGAAACTGGAACTGTTAGAATCAGGGAATAATTCACAGACATTCCTTAGATTACTTGGGAGGGGGGAGTTGTTTTAAGGGCATATTACACCCCAAATGGAGAACTGTTTTGAAGACATGTTTCTGTGACATGGAGACGGAGAACATTCCAGAGGTCTCAAGTACATTTTATCATACCCACCATGCCTCACAAACAAGAGCAGTTTCAACTTAAGAACATATTGCTTCAGACATATTTGTTTAAAATTTAGGGATTTAGGCAATGTTTCAAAATGTAGCATCATGACAATAGAGTATCATAACCATGATTTAAAAATGTAAATCCTATTGAAAGAAAATTCAGTATTTAGATATTAGTTTCTTAAATGTTTCATTTTAGGATATATCAAATGGAAGATATTTGGGATTTCTAAACATAAGACACACAGCTTTCTTCAACTATTGAACAACATAAATTTGCTGAAGGATTAGAAACATGCATTTCCAAGTTTTCTCTCTCTCCCACCTCTGAGAAACTGATCTCTAGGTCCTGAGTAGCTGGGTGCCTCAGATGAGGTGAGCAATCAGTTCTTGCCTTCGGTATGTATCATGCACTCTTGCCTTTGTTTGTTTCAAGAACTAAATATACCTCATTTGCAAAGTAGATTCCTAAAGGATACAACACTGATGATTCAGCAAACAGCTTTATTTTAATACACCAGATAAATTTGCTATTTTTGTAAAAAACCAAGAAGCTTTTCACATACAATATTTGCTCAAAAAATAAGAGCTAAGTTTTTAAGGAGTAACACCATGCCTTGTTCAGCCATTGACCCAAGACAGCAAGAAATCCTACAGGTAGGTCATGATGCCCATTCTATTTATATGAATCTTGAAGTCAAATGAGTCAAAGAAAGGGAGCCAGAATCCTAAAGCAGCTCTTAGCTAGCATGCATTATCACTCTCACAGTCAAGTTAGGGACACTAAGTTGTCCCTAACTTGGGGACACTTCATTCAAGATGACTGTAATAGATATCTAAAGGTATCTAAAGAGAAGACTGGAAAGAAAGAGGCCACAGTACAAGACACAGGCTAAAGTGCTCATGCCTCTTAAATTATTATCCTGCACAGAGACTTCAAAACTTCACAGGGAAGTAACTTCTGGGTCCTCAGCAAAGACTGGCCAAACTGCTCCAGAAGAGAAAGACACTGGAGAAAGTCTGAATCTCAAAGGGTTTCACTTTCTCCTGTATACAATAAACAGTCAAAACATGTCTCTGGCTGCTTTGGCCATCAGCAAGCTCTGAGCCACAAGAGTATGCTCAGAATGTGAAGGGTGCAGGTTCGCCCTTAATATAAAGACAGAAGCTAACAGTTCAGTAGAGACACATTAATCAAATTTTAGTGAATGAATATTTCAGACCTAAGTGATTTAAATCATACAAGGTCACAGCCTCAAGTAGCATAGCCATCAGCAATGCTTCTGGAGTCTTAATAGAGTCATGCGAAGGAACCAAATTATCATGAGAAGGCATTGAACATAGACTAAAAGACTCAGCAAAATGAGAAAGTCTCTATCCACAAACCCTACCTTCACATGTACCTTTAAAAACGAATCCCTGTTTGGAATTTTACCAATTACTTTAGCCTGTATTTTTCTATAGCTTTTATGAGTACTGAACAGCTACTAAGGGAAAGATGCTGTGCTAGCCATTGACAGGAAGATGGTTTGCTAGGCACTGAAGGGAAGATTGTACTAGTTAATGAGGGGAAGACAGTGTGCTAGTCACTGAGGGGAAGATTGTGGTAGTCACTGAGAGGAACACTGTGCTAGTCACTGAGGGGAAGATTGTTGTAGTCACTGAGGGAAAGACTGTGCTAGTCACTGAGAAGAAGACTGTGCTAGTCACTGAGGGGAAGACTGTGCTAGTCACTGAGAAAGACTGTGCTAGTCACTGAGAGGAACATGTGTTAGTCACAGGGGAAGACTGTGCTAGTCACTGAGAGGAACATGTGCTAGTCACTGAGAGGAAGACTGAGCTAGTCACTGAAGAGAAGACAGTGTGCTAGTCACTGAGGGGCAAGTATAAAAACTAATAATAATAATAAAAAACACCAAACAAACAAGCAAACAAAGTTCTTGCTCCTAAGGAGTCAGTAAGGTGAAAGCCTCCAGAAAGCTGAAAGGCTCCAACTGTGTCATGGGAACTTGTCTGGCAGTTGGTAACCCAACCCCAGCCACACTAATTCTGGGCAGTCTCCACCCATGACTAACCCTGGAGAAGATGACACCATCATTTCTAGCCAACCATCATCTCTGATGGACAGTTCTGGGGCTGCTCCTTCCACATGCATCACATGGACATGACTCTCAGAAAACATTCCATCCCGTCTGCTTACTCCCTTTCATCTATCTCATCAGGTCCACATTTCATACCCCCATAAACTTCTTCAACTCCTCATCCTGTCTCAACATCTGCCTTCCTGAGAGCCTGACTTGACAGGTCAGGAAATCATAGCCTTGCTTCATAAATGAAATGAAATCCTCCTTTAGCATACCATAAAAACCACAGATTTCCTAGATGGAGCAAGCCCATCTCAAAATTCAGCTTCCTTTGGTAAGTAGTCTGTGTGTTCCCCACCCCATGTTCTCCAGCTCTATATGCTGTTAAGGCTTCACTCCTGGGCTCCTCTGCCACCTGATGCTCTCAGACTTTAAACTGCTCTGGTTTTCTAGTTTGGTGGGTGAAGCCACAGGTGATTAAAGAGCATCTGTGATGATTCTCCTGAAGCAGTTTGCACAGGACATGCTTTCCTCCTCACAGATAGGCTCCCCATGCTCTCCCCACCCCCACTCCTACCAAAGGCTGAACCACACTCACTCTTCCTGGCAAATCTCACCCTAGCGTGGAACAGCCCTTAAACCACAAGGCAATTTATTAGGATTCACTTGTGTCCGTGTGGGTTTCTACATTAACAATGTAGAAAAAACATTTATCTTTTCTTTGTATGTAAAAGTTAGACAGTCCCAGGGGAGGAGGCAGGACAAAATGGACACACTTTATGTCCTATTCTATAGCCTATTGTGAGATTTGGCCTGACAGCACACAGACAGAATGAACCAAATTAATTTCAACAGATCAGGGGTCAAAATAAGTTAGTGAGGATCACAAGCTTAAAAGAAAAATGCTTATTTTTTGGGTCCTAGCTATGTGAGAAAGGCCAGGACTTGCACTAGTCAAATCATTCTAATTTCCAGAAAAGGAATTTGTTTTAAGGCCGTTTTGGAGAATTGGGAAATGGGTGAATTAAGTTAGGTGTTCTGAGCAAAACAAACTTCCAGTGGCTGGGGAAGCTGGGATCCGAACTTCCCCCATCTGACCAGAAGCTGAGCTTTTCCCACTGGCTGCACACAGAAGGAAGGGAAAGGGCATGGCACATGGACAGATCTGGAGACACCAGCTCTGACTACAATCCACAGCCTGTTAAGTTTCTGATCATGAGATGCCTGCATCCATCCCAGAGACTCAGAAAAAAAGAAGCAACATTTGAGATGGGCCTTGGAATATATCAAAAAATCCCAGAGATGGAAACAAAGAAACAACGCAGGAAGGAAACCGGGAAGGGACTGGGTCAGTGCGAGCAGGCAGCAAACAGATCAGGGGAAGCAACAAAGCCAAAGGCCTGTAGTATTTTCAGGAGACTTTGAAGGCCAGAACACAGGCTATAGAAATGCTCTGGAAGAAGCAGCATTAGAAGCATTAGCAGCATGCGAAGAGGGAAAGAGAAACAGGAAGTGTAAGCAAAAGACAATGGGAGGCAGCCTAGGATAAGGAGTAGGACAGAGAGAGGAGGGCCAGAAGTTGTCATCATTCAAGGGAGGAGTCAGGAGGAATGCTGAATGCTGCAAAGGAAAAGGGTGTCAATGATCTGGGAGAGAGTGGAAGGAAGAAGAGGTTTGAAAAGAAAACAACCATTTCTGCATCAGAAGCAAAACCATTCAACTAGTAATGGACACCTCCATCCATCCAGCTTGGGAATCTGTCATCAGGGTAGGGCTGAGTGACTGCTGTAGTTATGCATGTCCTTCCTGTGAGGGTGAAATCTTCAAGCAGCGAGAAACTTTGAGTACACATGAACTATACTACCTCCGAAGAAAGTACAGCATTCAGTCCAGGGGACTCAAGGATGCACAGTGGAGAACACGAGCT